CGATCCTCAGATCTCAGCCTCCTGAGTAGCTAGGATTACAGGCGTGAGCCACCAGCGCCCGGCCTTCTTTTAATTCTTTATGTGAACCATTGTGCCACATGGGCAGGAGCACTTACTATGCATTACTTCATCGAGTCATCAAGCCATCCTAAGGCACTTGAAACCAATGAGGTTTGTTTTCTGCTTTTCCATGGATATATCCATTTTTCTAAATCACCACTTTTGGGGGGGAAGCTCTTCACCTCCAAGATACTTTGTAAACAGAGTCAATTGGGCCAAGTAATGGGGGGGGTGAAATCATATCCAAGTTTCAAGAACACTAAGAATTCTCACAACTCTGTTTCCTAATGCTCCTGCCAAATTCCCTTTATTCTCTTAGTGGGTTTTCCTGGTGCATAGTTAAGAAAGACCAAATAATAATGAGACTGTGGATAGCACAGATATTTCCTGATACAGGTATGAGGAGGATAGATGGATCTATCCACATACTCATCAAGAGAGGTCCCACCAGAGCACCAGAGAGTACCAAGAATGGGCCAGAAAGAGAAGAGCTAAGGTAAGTCCCCGGAACGAACCAGCAACCAGATGAGGATAAAATCTACAGCAAGTAAGACTGGCTCTCTTTTTTTTTTTTCTGTTTTATTTTATCTGATATCCCAAGATGAGTGTTTATGGAATTAACTAAGACCCTAATGCTAATTCATTATTTATAGCACTTTAGTCCAAACAGCTGAGCTTCTCATGGATTTGGTTAATTTAATCAAATTCAATGCAATTATGCTTTAATTAAAAATACATATGCATAAAGTTGAAATGATGATATTTAAATCAATTGAATTTACCACAAAATGAGAAGAGATGCAAACCATTCATTACAGATCTGAGCAGGAAGCAAAATTAACAATAATTTAACCTTACAATCTTTTTTTTTTCTATCTAGAAGGTAGCCAAGGCCAAAGGTCATGAATTCTCAATGTCACACCGTGAGTAGTAACTGTGACATTCAAATCCTCACTTCAAATCCACAGTCTGTTTAACTGGCCCCTTTCCTGACCTTTCCCAACTTCTGATTACACTCAAACCCCAGGTTTTCTCCAATTCTCAAAGTTTATCCAAACAGAACCTATAATCTAGGAGGCCAAAATTGCTAAAGCAATATAAAAGTCTTGACTCTTAGACCTTATCATTTCAACAACCTGGTCAAAGTCTTTGAGGGAATATATATATATATATATATAATATGTATATTAAATAATATATATTATATATATTGCAAGTTAATATCCTACATTTTGCTCCAAAACCTTTCTGCACATAACAAACTTAACAAAAACATATAAAATACAGCATCCATTATGATGCCAAAGCATTCTTTCTCTGAAAAAAGACTAAGAAAGAATACATCTTTCTTCTTTATTATTCTGAGTTCCTCACAGCTCTCTTTTTTTAGCCAAATAATTTTACACTATATAAAAACCGTTAAGCTCACTTTCTCAACATAATTCACTACACCATCACCAGACATTCTTCACAGAACCTAAAGAGAGTGCTAAACCTGAAGCAAATCATTCTAAACAGGGACTCCAGGTGAATTCTAATAAGCAAGGTTGACCCGACTGTTGATTGCTCTTCTCAGCTCTGGAAGTGTATCCTCCTGATTGTAGTATGGATTATTTTCTAGCCCACACCCACCCATAACACAGCTCTTTCCACGTTCTCCACCAGTAACTCTGACCCTCCACAGAATTCCTACAAAGACATCACTCCTCTCTCTCTCCCCATACCAGCCTGGGCCTACTCCCTTCTCCTCTGCAGGCAACATTCTCTCCCTCTCACACACCCTCTTCCTCTCTCCTCCCTCCAACACAGTTCTAAAGCAGCAAGGCCCGGCCCACACACTCAAACCCTAAAGCCACTAAAACTGGTGACCTGGAAGCTGGGTTAACTTGACAAACGCTGGTCAACCTTCCAAGTGTCTGGGAAGTTTTCCATCATCTGGAGAAGATAAGCTCTCTTTCCACCTCTGACAGCCCTTCCCCCAGGGAATCCAGACACAAGGGTCCCCTTCCACCTGTCCCCTGACTCAGAGGCTGGTCCCCAGAAGGATGGAGTGGGAGTCTGGAGACACAACTCACTGCAAATCGGACTTGGCAGTTCTCCTCTCCTAGGTAGCAGAGGTCGCCTGAGACGTTGGTCTCCAGCCACAGATGCTCCCCATTGATGGCGTTCTCCTGCAAGGAAAAGACCCACCCACTTCAGTTTTGGTTGTTTGTTTTTTTGTGTTTTTTTTTTTCCTCCAGGAATAAAGAAGACTTCAACTTTGCATTTGGAGGTCAGACAGTTCAAGGCCCCCAAGGAAGTGAAATACTTCTCCTTGGAACCTTCCAGGGACTGTTCCAGTTGATCCTATGAATATTCTAGAAATGTGGAATACTTGGTGTCATAACTCCCATAGCCTTCAGGCCGGCCGCTGCTTTATCCATGGATGTGATTCGTTTTTGAAACACATAATTGATACATGAGGGAAAAGTGTGTGAAGAGTTCTATGGAAAGCCTTATTTATGCAGGCCCCATACTGCTAATGCCCTGGCAATGAGATCTACTAAAATTTGCCTTTGCTGAGTGAATTAGCTTAGAAGGATGATGATGGTGTTAAAGTGTTTTGAAGCAAGACTGTTTGAAAACACATTTGTATTTGCATGGGAAAATTACACATACAAAGGCAGAGGATTCTTAACACTTAGTTTATGTCCCTGTACTCAATGTGTCATGAATTTAAACTCACTCAAACATTTTGCTAATTCAGTAAAGCCTCCCACCCAATTAATTCTAATGATTTTTTTCAACTGGAATAATTTTTCTGCCTCTAAAAGCACCCACATGCTTCTAAAGGTGAACAGAGCTGGCACGTTGTAGTTCATAATGAGCAACAACCCTATGATACACACAAAAAAAGATGCTATGTTTAATTGAAGAGAGGGAGTAAACACTAGTCTTTTAAAGAATAGGGAATAGAACTTCATATTCCTTCTTATGGTGTGACAAATTATTACATGAATTGGATATTTTCTTTGCTTTAGGGGAAGTATTGTATTGGATCAAGCATAAAGGAACAAGCCTACGTCAACATGTCTTACAGGAAAATTCCTCTCATTTCTCTCTTATTCAGTAGAATAATAGTGACTTGTTATTTTTCCATGGAGTATGCTGTGGCCTGAATTATATTTCTCAAAATTTATATGTTGGAAATTTAAGCCCTGACAGGATGGTCTAAGGAAGTGGGAGACCTCAGAAAGAAGTGAAGCTAGGAGGGAGGAATTTCCAGGATGAAATGAGGGCCTTATATAAAGAACACAAGAAAGATCCCCCCTCCCTTCCCCTCTGCTCCCCACACTTCTCTCCATGTATATGCACCATGTATATGCACCAAGTATGTGCATAAGAAAGTGACTGTCTGCAAGGCAGGGAGAAAGCCTGCACCAGGAACCAAATCTGTCAGCACTTTGACCTTATACTTCTCAGCCTCTAGAGCCCTGAGAAGTAAATATCTGTTATTTAAGCCATCCAGTCTATAATGTTTTGTTATTATAGCATGAGCAGACTAATAGGGGGGATTAAAGAGCTTTAAAGCAGAGCCAAACGATTTAGAAATCCATCTTCTATGTGAGCCATCTTTATTATACCCTATTTCAGATCTGTCCACACAATAACCCTCTACATTCCAAGGCTTAGCACAGAGAATTATAGACCAAATGATGTTTACTGGGAGAGGGGAAGAAAATACCTAGCATCACCCATCTTTTATAATGAATGCATTACTTCTGATTCAAATAGAGTCCATTTTCTTTTCCGAGCCCATAGTGTTAAATATTCCCAGGGATGAATCACCAACAGAGGGCCACAGCACGACCTGAGGTCTAGGTGCTTCGTGACGCAAGGAAAATGAAGCAAGTCCCAGAGGAGTCACAGTGAGTCACAAGAGATCAGGGAAAGTGCCCAACTGTGTAGATTTCAAGGGTTCAAGAATAGTCGGATGTAGGGCCATGCCTTACATGTCTCTAAGTTCCTCCAGACCATTCCTAAAAGGAAAACAATAGAGGGCTCATCACTCATTAGATCAAAGGGTGGCCATTTTTCCCCCAAAATATGTCCTTTCCCACTGATAATGTTCCTTTGTGACAAGTCAAGTTCAATTTGTTCATAGAAGTCCTTGAGAAAGCAGACCTCACCTCTTCTTGTAGGACAGACAGTAACCAGAAAGAGAAGCATAGGTTGAGGATTGAAAGTTTATACAGATGGATGAAATCTAAGATATTACTATTACTGAGGGGTTTTAACCCAAATTTGACTTATAAACAAATTCTACAAAACAATCCCTTTTCATTGTGTCATGCCTCAATTCATTCAGTGAACATTTATTCCTGGCCACTGGTGCCAGACACTTGAGATACTGTGGTAATTCATACAGGGAAATCTACTAGAGCAGATGAAAATGAAGACATCATAATAGCAAAACATACTAAAGGAGCAACCACAGCCAAAACCCTGTTAACTACCTCTAGGAAGTAAAGTAGGCAATGTTGCAGTAGAGTAATGGTCACAAAACATCCTTAATTCCAATCTAGGCAGCTCAGAAACCAAGTCCTTGACTTTTAGATAAGGCATGTAGGACCAGTCAAAACCCAGGTGGACAGAAGCTTCAACACTCTACTAATTTACCAGATCAGTTATCCAAATCCTGGACCCCGGGCTGTTAATGTCCTGGCTACACTACACACCACCACAAGCTTTCAGAGAAAAGCTGGCCAACCTTGCCTCAGACTCAGGCACAACAGAACTGCCAGAGCTAGCTGGCTTTACCCTTCCGTGTAAATCTACTTTAGAAGAGACTCATCTGTGCCAAGAGATCAGCAGTGAAACCATGGCTTCAGGATCCAAAAAAAGTTCTCAGAGGTATCACATGACTTCAATGTGATGAAGAGCCTAGGATCCAATAATTCAAGAGCCCTACCCTACTGCTTTAAAACATTTTGATACTAGATTCCAGAGCATGTCAGTAAGTCAAGATTTATTATATTTGATACTTATCTGTCTTGTATAAAAACCAGAGAAGGAGAAGAGAAAATTGGCATTAAGTAGCCTAGTTCGATTTTTAGTAAGGAAAGAGACATCAAACATTAATAATACACAGTGAGTAGAATCAGAGTTAACAATATAGATCCTGGGAATAATGGAAAAGGATAGGAACTTGCATGAACCTTTCAGGAGCTTAAACTAGTATACTCACATTGGGAAATATAACCTAAAGAAATAGTCCTAATGAAAAAAAGAAAGAAAAGGTATGTACCTTCCCAGGTTTACCCCTACCATATAAAAACAAAACCTGGTAACATTAGGAATTCTAAGTAGGGAAGATTGTTATAGGAAGTATCACAATACATTAAACGACTTCAAGATATGCAAGTGTGGAGATCAGTCAGATGGAAAACCGTATGATGCAGAGTCAAGCACAAATAAAATGTAAAATTGGCTATACATTAGGAACAGAAATCTATATGAAAATAAGAGCTAAAAAACATATTAACACAGATCTTTTTACCAAAAAAA